CCCCAAAACCCCAAAACCCCAAAACCCCAAAACCCCAAGAGGAAATTCCTTAATAGAAATCATCCAAAACAACAATGCATAAAATAGTTATCTCTACTATTACTTAGAGTCCCCTTTACAAAATTTTGCAAGATTTCTTCTCTTTTTAGGAGGCAGCGGTGAAGGAGTCTGCTGAAGCATATGCCTCCGACTATACTGCAAAGTAGTAGTTTCAGTAATATTTTTAATTGCTTTTGAGTACTTCCTCTCAGCTCTGTAATTAGTAATGAAGTTCCTGACCAACTTGCTCTGGTCAGGTATCTTCACATTTAAATCACTGGACTGAAGTGCAAGAAGCTCTTCTTTATCAAGGATCTTCTGTATGTCTGAAATTTGGATGCATAGCACAGTTGTTCCATCACTGTGAGATGTGAGCGTAGATTTTATAGGAATATCGGATAAAGATTCATTCAGACCAAAAAATTCCAATGGATGAATTTGGAAAACACTGTTCTTGAAATACTTGCTCTTAGTGACTCACTGCCTCTTATTACTCTGAGTAGGCCATGAGTTAGAGTCTTCTATTTTAATAACTTTCTGGACATCCAGGTTGCCTTCCTTAAGGATGAACATCTGGGATATTTCTTTACCCTCTCTGACAACCGCTTCGCCAGTTTTGAGGTGAATTGTATTAAAACTTTTTGCTAATTTTTCGATTTTCTCGTAGCTTAAGTATCTGAAATAACTAATTTCGCTGAGATATTGGATATTATTTTTGCAATTTTACTCTATGAAATCCCTTGATGATATCTTTATAGTTCTGGAAACTGATATTGAATGCTTGGATGTCAGTAAAGGCAACACAATTAGCGCCCCTATTTTTCACCACGTAGAAGTCCTTGCTCGCCAATAACATCTCTATTTACCCTTGATAGCAACTGGAGGGTATTCTGTGATGTAATTAGTTGGGTTCTCTTGGAGTTGGGCTAGGTCTAAGCTAATATATATTCCAATCTCTCCCTTATAAATTATAGTCATGAAGGTAGATATATCTCCCTTCTTAATAATGACTTCACCCTTCTTGTATGCCACTGGCTGGATACAATCACAGACCTTCTGAAGTATCAAGTCAGGGTAATGCCTCATAAAGTCTACTTGCTGGAGCCACCTTTTCAAGCGGCTAAGGTGTTTCTTCGTCCTTTGGTTCAGCTTTAGCTGACTTACTTGGTAAGGATTGATATTTTCCCTCCTAAGAATCTCAGGATAAACCTTTCTCACAAAATGGTCATACTCTCCATTCTGGACTAGTTCCTGGGGAAATAGGTCCATGTTAAGACTTTTCTTGTATAACTTCTTCTTGTTAGATGTCTTGAACAAATTTTGGAGATTTCTGTTATTCTCCTTCAGCTTCAGCATACTTTGTCTGATCTCGCTCTCAAGATTGGGCTCGGTCCGAGTGTAGTTTTGGTGTCTCTAAACTTAAGGTTCCTTCACTTACCTCCTTGTGTTCCTCAAGTTCATGAATAAGCACCTTGGAGTCATCAAGTAACTTATTTCATACCGATTATGGTAGAGTTTTTTGTATCCCGAGTGGTACTCTTCGTGATGGTGATGGGCATCTTGGCCTCCTTCTTCGGAGAGTTATGCATATTTTCTAGAATTTTATCTGGAAATTTACCAAAAGATTCTTCAGAGCCGATGTTTATTAACCCTCTTCTTTCTTTTGGAGTAATTACTATGGATTATTTGACCATTTTACTACAGTTTAGAGGATTTCGAGGGTTGCTACTCAACCTTTGAATGTTAGAGAGGTAATCTTCAGCCTTCAGCTTCGATTGCAGGTAGATGTTTAGTGATTTATTATTAGGAGCCTTACTGGTAGAGGTATCGTTTGACGCCATAGACCCATCTAAATACTTAACATGGGGATTACAGATCAACTGTCGTCTCCTTCTGGACCTCATTACAGCTTTATTTCAGCTTCTCATTCATCAGAAGCTTGCTTTTGTGACGTTTCAGATCGATTGGACTCTGACTGTGATGGAAGTACTTGGCGCTATACCCTACCTTATTCCTGACTGTCTTGATTCGAGATTTATGGGATGAACTCTTCTATAGAAAACATGTTAGATGACTCTGAGTCTCTTTCAGAGAGCTCTATGGGTTATTCCCTCTTAGTAATGACAACTTGGAAATAAATTTCTCGGAAATTTACCGCCAGAATTACCTCATTTAGCTCTTCAACGTAGAGCTTCTGTTGGGGGTTGTTCATTTGAAGAATAATTTTCAATAAAATTTTAATTTTAAGGGGTTTTGGGGTTTTGGGGTTTTGGGGTTTTGGGG